CACCCCACCCCCCACGCCGCCCCGCCGCATAGGGGGCGGGGATGACGCAGCCCGCGGGACGCCGCGACCCGCTACGCCAGGCCACGCCCTCGGAGGGTGGGAGCAAAGCCCTCCTATCCGTACACGGCACAGTCGCGCGCAGGGGCGGGGAGGGGTGAGGTGGTGGCGCGTGACGAGGTGGCGGAGCGCCCGGGGCCCGCGCCGTCAGTTTGACGGAGACCGCGGCTCGAGCAGGTCGCGCAGGCCGAGGGCGCTCCGCGGGCCTCGCGGGCCTCGCGGGCCTCGTGGGAGTAGTGGGCCGGGGACCGCGAGTCGGCAGTGCAGCTCTTGTGGGATTCCTTCAACGACTGGTCCGGTAGGTTTCGGTACTTCTCTTCACAGACTGTTATCGTTAAATAACTTGTTTTTCATTCAAACTTATTTGAATTTTATCTACACCTTGTATCTCTTTTTCGTTTCGTTTCCAAAATCGGAACGTCGTGTTTTGGGTAGCCGCGAGTGGCCGTGACGTCAGTGCCCATTTTGGCATGGCGCTCAATCTCTCTAAACCGTCATTGTTTTATGTTCCAAGTTGACTCAATTGGCAAGCTCCCCCAATTAAAACGCAAACTCTGTGTTTCCCCCTGTCGGCGTGGCCCTGTGATCCTCCCCCTGTGTTGCAACGTCGCGGTGCCTCGTGCTCCAAAGTGTCCCCGCGAGGTCGGAAGACTTTAGCAGGTGTCGCCCGGCGTGGCGCCGCTGGCCGCGCCTTGTAGAGAGAGGCGGGGCCTCCCACCCTCCGCCCGCTGGACGGCCTCCACGAGCTCCACAGCCATGTATGTACTTGTTGCAATAAAATATCTGCCCTGCCCATAAAGAGTGTCGTGTTGTCATTCACCCGCAACCCCGCACCGCACAATATGCTACCAACTACTACAATACAGGAAAGGGCTCAACAAGTTACGTCTCTGCATGCCTCAGACTAGGAAAACAGCAACAAATGAATAAGGGAAGTCCACTCCAGACTCGTGCACCTCAGGTAAATGTGAAGCCTAACTAAAGCCAAATTGGAGAGAGGCCACCCCAGATAACGTGTGCAATTACGGCCAGCCCGTGGCAACTTGGCTGGCGGTGCAGCCAAGTTTGAGAGGGAATCGGGGAACAACTCTGCCGCGACACGCCGCAGGGCTACAAGGCTACCTGGGATACGCTTGATAAATAAACCTGAGTCACGGGGCTCTGAGTCACATGGCACCGGCTGCCGCCACCGGCCGCCAGTCGCTGACTCACGAGGGGTATTATTACACGCTACACGGCCCTCCTCTCCTAAACGTCCCCCGTTTGTTTCAAACTAAAACAATTTTTTTTTTAACCCTCATGAGAAAATCTACGGCATTGGTAGATTGATCGATAAGATGCGCTGGCAAGGGACACCAGGGGGGCCATGATCTTCCCAATCACCATGAACCTCTATGTGAATTCTATGACGGGTGGCGAGGAGGATGAAAGAGAATAAACATGTATTCCTTTCTCATAATCTACAATAGACGCCCCCCCCCCCCCCAACCCAAGTAAAGGGACTGCAAAGAAACTTTTCAAATATGAAAGAAATGAGATAAGAGTCTACTCAATAAAAATAAAAATAGTCACTTTAATTTAAAAAATCTACCACGCGGATCTCCATCAAGATATCAAACTGGAGAGCAGAGCCCCAAAAGTAGTCTGGTAATATAATACAGACCAGCAGGGTTGAAATGGGAGGGAGAAAAAGCAGGAGAGAAGGGCGGGGCCGACAGAAATAGCCACCGCTCCTCCTCTCCTCAGAAGCGGCCGGCTTCTGAAGTGTGTGTGCACACGGTCCTACTCTGCTCCCTTTTCCCACACCCACAAAGTTAAAGGGATTCCCAGATTCTTGAGCAAAAAAACTCGGCCCTGTCATGTCTTGCAACACGCCTATACATTTTCATAGGCATCACAGACTACACAAAATGTCAGAGGTGCGGCTTAATCTGGCAGTAGGTCAAAAGTAAAATTTTCACTTCATGGCAGCTCTTTTACTTAAGCGAATTGGGTTTTTGAACTCTAAAAGCAACAATTGGTGCCTTGTATATCGTGTTCAAAGGTTTGACAAAACGCAATGGTTCATATAATGCAGTTTATTTTATTGCAGACTTTCACTTGATACATAACAGAAGTTAGTTGAAATAAAAAGCTTAATTTTTTAAACTTTTCTTACTTTTTTCTAGCTTTGGCAATGCAGAGACCAGATAGTTCTGATGAATAAATAAACAGTAATTTGCAAAATAGACTAAAGTGCTTGCTTGCTATTTGTGTTAAGTATTGTAAGATACTTTCTATGAACATTCGACTTGGAACATAAAACACATTTTGACCATACAGTAAAAGAATGAGAAAGCCATCCAGATGATAAAATCATTGCATGTTTCAGTTTGCTCATGAAATTTTCTTGAATGTCATGTACTGCATCACAGTCACACAAACTAAGAAAAAAAATGGAAGGGGAAAGAAAAGAAAACAGTCCAACGAACAAGCTCATAGAACAAATAAAACTCTGAGGTTTGTGAAACATGCACCAATATTACTGTTTTTGACATTTAAAAGGCTGTCTAAGAATTTTCAGCTCCAACATCAAAATGATCAAAAACAATAATATTAGAAGGAAATATTTTGATTTGAAAATGAACACTGGAATATGGGACAGCAAAGCACCAATTAAAAAAGGCTTTGGCTTTATCTTTGCAAACAAGACCACTCCTTATAAATACGAGCATAAATCACATTCAATAAAAACATAACCAGGCACCCTAAAGGAAATACTACTTCCTTTAGAGGGGGGATAAACAATACCTTTCAAACTATGACTAGAATTTTTCCAATAATTTGGATAAAGAGCTCAAGTATAATGGATGCATTTCAGAGAGATGAATGCAAAAGACTCAATGGCAGGCAGAGATCTTTCAAAAATCACTCACATAAGAGAGATGAATGCTTGTCAAATATACCTGATAAGCAAACCTCCATAACAATAAAAATAGCAAAACTCGCTCAAAACAAAAAAAGACATAATTTACAGTACACTATGTGAACTCTATGTATTTGAAAGTAAAACTGCATTTCAAAAACAGAATAATTGCTCAAATTAGCAAAATATAATGCCTTTCTACTTATGGTCCCACAAATTGGCAGTCTGAGCGAGTTTTGCATTAAATCACACAAGCGCAGGACAAGCGAAGAGGCACTCACCAAACTCACCACATATAGTTCAGAGAGCAGACAAGAGCTCTAACTTTTCAGGGACAAAAGAAAGAGCAAACTTGTCTGCTATTTTTTTTCCTCAAAGAAATATTTCTAGTCATAGGATGTATGAATTACAATCTGAGGAATATTTTGTGTTTTCCAAAGGAAACCAATCTTGTTAGGTGTTACAACATGCAAGTGAGGTGCCCCTTCCCTTCGCCCTTCAGAACTTTAACAATTGGGGGTTAAAAGTATGCAATATATGAATCCTAATTTTAAAAAGTGTTTGCAAATAAATTGATCTGAAGCTTAAATAATGCTTTATAATAATGGTAAGCTTTGAAATGTAAATAACAGCTTTGCTATAGGTAGATTAATGCCATCTTATTAAGACTTAAAGCAATAAACCCCAATCATAAAAGCTCAAACCTCTAATAGATAAAGAAAATAACCCCTTGAAAGAAAGTTTTTCATAGCTGTCATCACTAACCACTACAACTACTAGGAGATAAAAAAAGTACCCAATCACATTTTGACTCGACCAGTCAACCTATCATGCACAAAATGACAACAGCACAAAGTAAGTCTTTCAAGGAGTTACATATATAAAAAATATACACTACTTTGAAAGAGAAATTGACAGTGAACCCGACAGTGGGCAGACAGAAGTAGAAGTAGAAGTAGAAGAGAGGGGAATTTGATGGTTATTAGTCCTTACTTTTGACGAGCAGCTTAGCAGAAGTCTCGGTCTGCCCTGCAGCATTAGTAGCACGACAAGTAAATTTGCCTGAATCTTCTTCATAAGTAGTAGAAATGAGAAGTACAGCATAGTTTCCTTCATGAATCATCTGGAAAAATTAAGTAGATCATCTTTGAGTTAAAGAGATTTTGAGATTAAAATGAAAGTACATTCTAATTTTTTTTCCTAGGATCCTTTATTAGATTAGATTAATATTTACCTGGAAGTCAGCAGACTGAGGGATAAGAGCTCCTTCTCTATACCACTGAACAGTTGGTTGGGGCTTCCCGGTGACTTGAGTTTTGAATTGAGCAGGACTTCCTTCAGGAACTATGACATCTTTCATGGGCGTCAATTTTGGAGCTACTTCCTGAGTCTCTGGAGCTGAAATAAGAGAAAAAGAATTATATAATTGTTTGATTTTTGGGCTTGTACCACAGATACTATAAATTTAAGTGGTTTTTTTTCAAGAAAATTTGGGACTGCCTACCTTGTACTCGTAGCTTGGCTGATGTTGACACGGTGCCAGCTGGTGTTTTCACTTCACACTTGTATTCGCCTTCATCTTCAGGGAAAGCTTCAGAAATTTTGAGTGTGTAAGTTCCAGAGCTGTTAAGATTCATTTGGAAGTATCTGGAAGGCTTGATAATCTTGTTGCCTTTGTACCAGTTGTGGTCTAGCACTATAATCGAAGGGGGAAAACATAATTTTAATTTTAGAGAAGCAAAAGAGTACTTTCAAATTTACACTACAACTTCTTTGTTTGTGCACCCTGCACATGGCTCTAAAAGCTGAACTTACTTTGATCTGGAGATGGGCCAGTGATTTTGCATGAGAACTCCACAGGCTGTCCCTCCCGCACAGTTTGGTCCGTCAACGGTTTGACCACCTTGGGCTTGCCGCTCTGGTCGGACGGAGCCTGCTTCCCAGGCTGGGCCGGTGCCTTGCCCGCCGGCTGCACGAAGCACTCTGCGTCACAGCGAGCCTCTCCGGCGCCGTTGATAGCGACGCATTCGTAGCGGCCGCTGTCCTGGGGAGTCGCCTCAAGGATCAGCAGTGTGTGCAAATTGTCTTCCTCGACGGTCTTGTAACGGATATCGGGGACGACCTTGGACCCGTTCTGAGAAGGGTACAAACAATGCGATCAGAGGACATTCATAATCGATGATAATATGTCCATTACACAGAGAGCACAAGCCGATAATGATCCAACCTTGAGCCAGTGGACATCTAAGGGCTTAGTGCCGGTGATTTTGGCGTCGAAGCGTGCCAAGCTACCAGCCTTGACGGTCACGTCCTGGACTGTGGACACGAAGCTTGGAGGGATGACACCCCCACGGCCCGGCCGACGGCGTTCCTCCACGACCAGATTGGCACTGCATTTGGCCTTCCCCCCGCGGTTCTCCGCAATCGCGGCGAAAACGCCAGAGTCTTCCATGAACACCTGCAATTTAATTTTTTGAATTAGAGCTTTTATTATTAAAATAACAGTGGACTTGAGATAGCATACGGTTGCAAAAGGGAAAAGGGAAGTATAAAATTACCTGTCTCACAACCAATATTGATTTTCTACCAAAGGTGGTAATTTGGAAATCAGGGGAACTCTGAATGGGGAAATCCTCTCGGAACCACTGAATGGTTGGAAGTGGATCACCATCAAACTCAACTTCAAAGCGAGCTTGTTCTTGCTCAAATGCTCTACATGGTTGTATTTTTTTCGTAAACACCGGAGGTTTCGCTGGTTTCTAGGATTCAAATTTACAATGATAAAATAAGCCAATATTTCAAGGAAGATCAAAACAAAAGAACAAAAAATACTCAGTATAAAGTTTTCTTACCACTTGACCTTGAACAACTCTTTCATGAGTCTTGCCTTTGTGCTCAACCTCAGTAGTCTCTGTAGCAGTGATCTTTCTTGTGATCTCAGTGTCACCAACAACCTTATTTTAAACAGGAACATAAATAATTAAGGTTAGCACATTTCCAGCAATGCAAAGGCAAAACATTCTAAAAATAATATCTAGTATCTCCAAAAAATTAATGATATAATTTATCTTTCTTACCTCTTTTTGGGTTTGCTTCTGCTTGGCGACATGGACCTCTCGTCCATGAACACTGCTTTCTCCTTCAGGAGGAACACCCTTCTTTTGCACAGTTTTCTGCTGCTGAGTTTGCTTCTGAGTTTCCTCCTTGGTTTCCTGAACAGTTTGTTGCTCAGATTTCTCCTGCCTCTGCTGTTGCTGCTGCAGCTGCTGCTGCTCAAGGTGCTGGAGTGTAGCCTTGTGCTTTGCCTTTGCCTGCTCGACCCAAGAGGGTTGAACAATCTTGCGCTGAGTTTGCTCTAATTGCTGAGACTCAAGAGTCTGAGCAGCTGACCTTTGCTTCAGTTTAGCTTGTTTGACCCAGTCAGGTTTCTCATCCTTTGGTTTGTCTCCTCTGAGAGAGAAAAAAATAATTTTTATCATCTTATTTAGCAATAAAATAAGTATGGCTAGTTTTAATTACATCTGGAGCACTTACAAGTTGGTTTCATAACTTTGTGCCATGCCCTTTGCAAGGGACTTGGAAACTACCTTATCCCCGGGAATAGCAAATTGATGAGACTTTTCACGTAGATGAGACTCCTTGAGCATTTGCTCCTCCTCAAGCTAATAAAATAAAGTAAAATTGTAACCAACATTTTAAAGGCTAGCGTGTAGCAGTAGAATTAGCATCTTCTTACCTCTCGAAGTTTGCTGTAATACTCTTCACCACGCTTTTCTTTGGCAGTGCGTTGCCACTCAAGTTCAGGTTCTTTTGATGGTTGTTTGTTCCTTGGCTCAAATTGAATCTCACCTTGTTGAGACTTTTGAACTTGTCTCTCCTGGAAGAAAGACTCCAGCTCTGTGTCCTGACGTTCCTTCTGGTACTGCTCAAGATCAGCATCGTACCAAGCTGCGATAATGACAATAAACATTAACATTTGAGATCACAGAATCTAAGTTAATACAAAACTAAACCTGCAGGATAATTTATTTTTAAAAAAATTCGAATCCCCCAACTAAGAATTGGATTTTATCATTTAATAAGGCTACTTGGTTAACATACATCAAAAAATAAAATGCTGAAGTGTTCTTTAGAGACAAGATTTCTATGAGATTTAATTTTTTTCAATACATATTTTTAGTTGTTATGCAGAATTGGATGATTAATTTTAAAGTTGTTTCAAGGGAAAGACCACTTTCCTTTCTTATCTTATTCAGCTTTTGATTATTAAAGTCTAGTAAGTATACTAAAATAAGTTAAAAATAGGAATGAAAAGCAAAGAAATAGGTAAGAGGGTTTCACGTACATGCCAACTAAATTGAATCACAAGTCACAGAAGCAAACAGGCATTCTTGTATCAATATTTAGCAAAGACTACACAGACAAATTTTATTGCCTTTGTCCACAAGCCTTTGCAAAAATCAAGAATTTTAGGATAGGACACACTTGTAGTCAGTGTTTATGGCATTTGTAGTTTTAGAAAACTAATATACCAATACCATGATCATACCATTTTTTTTTTTAATTTTTTTTTTTAATGTTTAAGAAACACCTATGGTAAATTGTAAATTTTATGGATACAGTATTATTATGAAACTGTGTTAATTATCTTGGTAAAAGAGTTATGACTGATATACTTTGTTGTTAAAAGCACAGTCATTTGAAAATGTTATGAATATTTTAAGTAAATGTTTCTTTTATGACACAGTTGTTAAGTACCTAGGTATAGCCTTCCCAATGAAAATCCCAATTCTAGATGTAAAGTTTTCTAAGTGAAATAAAGTACTGAGAATATGGATTCAATTGTTCCTTGCACCCAATTCAGCACAAAGGTCACAATGCAATAAAGGATATCAACACTTTAAAAAGGTACAACGAAAAACAGGCACATTTGTAACAGGACAGAATTGTAGGTATCTGCAGTGTTCAGGTTTCAACGCCATGTTCCTGTTTGCTGTGTAATGAATTTTCAAAGAGACATACTCAGAGCTATACTTTGAAAGCTTCTTAGAATTGATTGAAATTTAATTGGGACACTGAAGTAAGGTAAGGAAAAACTTTGAATAGAGACAAAAGACGGGCTTAAAACTTTTAGAGAACAAAATAAAGAAAGAGGATGTCTCTTGAAAAGAAGATAAAAAGTGATTGATGAATCATGCACAACAACATATAACATGACAGTACATGCAGAGCATATAGCATTCTCAGAGAATTGAGCAAAGTATGGGACAGATCTGCTTAGATCCTATGCTCTGAGAATGAAGACACACACAAAAATCAATTAAAATGACGCAGAAGCTGTATCATTATTAGTTTTACATTGAGAAGAAAACACTGCAATAAATACTGATGCAACGAAAGCATGCTAGAGTGAGTTAGATTGGGTAATGGACACCACAGGTTTAAAAAATCTTTTACTGAATGGAATCATAATGCAGTTGTTCACAAATAACTGCAGTTGGAGATAACTTCAGAAGAATTCGTTCATGTTTACAGTACATCATTCATGCAGGAAATGAAACAGACAGACATTTCCACACAGAATATAAATTAAGAGAACCATACCTGCAGACTTCCACTTGAAAGCAACAGAAGCATGAAGTCATTTTAAAATACCTTGGATAAGAGGTAGCACAGCGCACGGCGACAAAGCCCTCTTGCCAATTGCTTCAAGGATATGGAGGGATTTTCAGAAAAGGGAAAGGGATTGTGGAAGTGTCAAATGACGTGGATAGTGAAGGATGAGATGTTTTTGGCAGGATCATGTTCATGTTATGCTGTGTGTTAGTACCGAGAGCAGAGTGCGCGGCGAGCAATCCATCAAGGTCAATATTAAAGTGAAATAATAATGCAATCAGAAATAATATAACATAAGAAACAATACTGTTTCTTCATACTGTTTCAGACACTGAAGTCACAACAAATAAATAAATTAACATTAATGGAATGCAAAACTGTGTAAGTTATAGCAAATTGTGAGTACATATTTTGTGTGCATGTGATTAACTGCAGTGCAATTTGTGCTTGTTGTTAATATATAAATCCAAATCAACAAAAAGAAACCAAAGAAAACAACAAATCTACTATCTGACTGGGACATAAGCTAGAAGAAACATTTAATTAGAACAGCCTGCTTTCACTCCATCAATAACAAAGCTCTGTAAAAAATGCAATTAAATTTCATCCAACCAAAAAATGCAAGTGTGTGGAAACAGAAAATTTTCTTTGAGTGTCCATCATACATATAATATAAAACGGTATTTTAAATTGGTTGTCGACGATTTCAGGATGACATAGTTTCCACACACTTGCATTAAAACAATTGAGAGACATGCTGGAGATTGACTTACGACGAGGAGAATTCTTGAGAACACTGCGATAATCATCACCACGGGCCTTCACTATCAGCTCAGTGCTGACTCGGGCTTCTCCAACTGAGTTTCTAGCAATGACCTCAACAGTGCCGTTATCGTACTGACGAGTCTTCGGAATATCCAAATGCCACATTCCATCATAGGTCAATTTGTAGCGAGAGCCCTTAAAAATGAAAGTTACATTCAGGCAACGGATTTCTCAGACCTAATATTATAAGACCAGTAGAAATATTTCATAATATTCTTTACTCACATTAACCACTGTGTGTCCATTAACCAGCCACATCACCCTGGGTCTTGGGAAACCAGTTACACGGCAACAGTAACGTGCACACTCGCCCTCCTGCACAGTGAAAGGCTCTGGTTTGGTGACAAACACAGGAGCCTCCCTTGCTTTTTCATCTTCTTCCAAGGATTCTGGTGCACTAAAATAATAATCCACATCGATGAATAAGAATTTAGAGTAAGTGGGAAGTGGGGAATAATCTATTATTTTAGAACATTACTCACACTTGCCAAGCTGCTTCCATTTCTCTAATACGTTCAATACTCTTCATGCCCTTTGGCAGTTGAGACTCATAAATGATTCCTGGTTTACCAGCTGTCTTAATAATTGCACGAGTTTCATCCATGCCATAGAGATTAGTGGCACGGCAAAGATATTCGCCACTGTCCTCAGGATAAACCCAGCCAAAGTTCATAGCCACATACCCAAAGTCATAAATGGGTGTAAAGCGATTCTCTGTAAAAAAAAAAATTAAAAAAATTGAAAAGGGAAAGAAAAAAGTTTAACAAAAATAGGTGACACTAATAATTTGCTGAAGGTATAATAAAGCAATAGTTAGATATGCATACTGTGAGGTAAAGGTTTTCCATTGAAGAACCATTCCACTTTCATGTTTGGATCCCCTACGGGAGCAAGTTGACATTCAAATTTGGTATTTTGCATCTCAACTAAGTCCATTTGGGTTTGAATTTGGGTAACAAAGCTGAAAATTTTAAAATAGATGTTATCAAGACCCTTTTGCTAAGAATTTAGATTAGATTAATTATCACTAATTCTGTATGAAATAATTAAATTTCAACAATAGTTATTTACTCACCGAGGTGGCTGTTTGCGATCTGGATCAAAAAGATCATCTTCAGTAAGGTGAACCTCAGAGGTGTACTTCTTGATAGCTGCCTCCATTTGCATGAGCTGCTCAGATTTCAGCATGCCCTTAGGTACTTGATTATGCAGAACGATTGTGGGTAATTCTAAAAGGAGGAAAAAAGATTATATTGTGATAGGTCATTGAGAGTTTTTTTAAGATTAGAACACAAATACAGAAAATGAGAACACTCACTCTTGCAGGAAACAGTGGCTTTTGTGAAGTCTTCACCAACTTCATTGACAGCACGGCAAACATACTCTCCTTCATCCTCATTGTACACATTGAGGATATCAAGAGACACAAAGCCCATGTCGTATGTGCTGCGGTAGCGGTGACCAGATGGCAAAGGCTTTCCTTTGCGGTACCACTCAATTCTGAGTTTGGGATCATTTTTGGGCTCAACACGACATTCAAAGTGAACAGACTCACTTTCTTCGACAATGGCTGACTCAATCTGATGGTAATTGAAAATTGGGCAAAAATTATTTCTTCTGAAACCACAAAATAGAGAAGTATGCATACCTTTCATCATGACAAATTCTCACCTGAGTGATGAATTTAGGTGGTTGTGCTGCTGGTTCCTCGGGAGGAGCTGCTGTAGGTATAGGACCCCTTTCAAGTGCTTTCAGCTTTTCTCCACTCATACCTTGAGGAAGCTGTGAATCAAAGTCAATTGTTTTCCTTGATCTACATTGAAGAGTGGCCTTTGTTGTTGCAGTTCCCCATTTATTCGTAGCACGGCACATGAACTCTCCTGAGTCTCGTGCATAGGTGTGCATCAAGTCCATAACAATGAAACCAAAGTCATTCAGTTGATGGACACGAGATCCAGTGGCAAATGGACGGCCATTCCAAAACCAATCAATGCGCATAGTAGGATCACTTGCTGGTTCTACTCTGCAGTCAAAGTGGGCTGGCTGACCCTCTTCAAGATCCAATTGATCCTAGAATATCAATTTATATTATAACACTGATTTGTAAAACTAAGACGAATATACAAATTCATTTCTCAAATAATACCTTAAGTTCAACAATAAACCTGGGAGGATTAGGCTTTTCATCCTCAGCCATGATTTCATCTTTTTTGTAAAGTTGTTCTTCAAGCTTTTGGAGGCTTTCTGTTCCTGTCTTGAAGTGGGATGGCAGTTGAGGCTCCAGAACAATGCCTTGACGACCTCGGACTTGTAATTTGCATGATACAGTTGCTTCTCCATGTTTGTTTGTTGCCTAAAGAGCGCACAAAAAAAGCACATCAAAAACAACCTAGGATAAGATCATACAAAACAAAACAAACAATACTTTGTAACTCACCTTGCAAGTGTAAAGTCCAGCATCTCGCACATAGATTCCTGCCACCTCAAGGATAACAAAACCGAAGTCATTGATAGTTTTGATGCGAGAACCGGCCCATAAAGCTTTGCCATTGTGGAACCATTCAACTCGCATGGAGGGATCATTAACTGGTATGAGACGGCATTCAAAGTGTGCTAAAGAGTTCTCAGCCAGAGACTGATCCGTTGGACTGGTGACAAATTCAGGAGGTTTGCCTGTGTCATCTTCAACCTCAGTGGGTCCACGAGGCTGACCAAGACCCTCCAGTTCAGCAATTTTGTCAATTGTACCTTCCATTCCTTGTGGAAGCTGGGACTCCATAATAATGCTTCGTTTGCCTTAAAGGTAAAAAGTATTCAGTGAAATATTTTTACAGTAACAGAAAAACACAATGGCCAGTACTTAAAAGCATAGATAGAAAATGTAAGTATATATGGGTACCTTGTATTTTCATTGTTGCAGTTGTTACAGCTTCACCATAATCATTGAATGCGCGGCAAGAGTATTCTCCAGAATCTTCGGGATATACAGGAGAAATCTCCAAAATAACAAAACCAAAGTCACAGAAAGTGCGGAAACGAGAGCCTGTCTTTAAAGGTTTGCCGTTCCAGAACCATTCCACTTTTAGTTTTGGGTCATTTGTAGGTGTCAATCTGGCCTCAAAGTGACAACTTTCTCCTTCACGTAAGTTGTCAATGTTGGACAAAGGCACAGTAAACATAGGAGCGACACCTTTGAGCTCACTAGATTGCTCATCTCGGGTGCGAACCAGAGAATCTTCAAGAGTTTGAATTTTCTCCAAGCCTCCTTCCATACCCTGGAATATAAATATTCAGTTAATAATACAAAGTTGTAAGAAGGATTCAATGGTTAATGATTACAAATTTAATACAAGAGAAAAATTTTCACCTCAGGCAGTTGGGATTCCAGGATGAGATTGGCTTTAGATACACATTTAAGATTAGCCTTTGTACTGTCCTCACCAACTTTGTTGTAAGCACGACATTCATAGAGACCAGAATTCTCTTCATAACAGTACAAAATATCCAGGATCACAATGCCAAAGTCATGGAAGGTACGATAGCGATGTCCATGGGGTAGTTTCTTACCATTATAATACCACTCAACCTAATTGGTATAAAAAAATTAGAAAAATAAAAAATACTAGACAAAACTTAGTGTAAATGTTGATACTCTGTTCGGAAATATTACCACAAGATTAGGATCAGTGACTGGTGTAAGTCTTGCTTCAAAGTGAGCACTTTGTCCTTCTTTTAGATTCACAACATCAGTTATCTGTGTGATAAACTTAGGTGGCTGGTCAGCTGGAGCAGCAGATTGACTTGGCTGTTGACCTTGCTGGCTTTCCAATTCCTTAATACGGGCCAGGGCATCAGGCTGGAGGCTGTCCAGATACACACCACCTTTACCAGTACACTTAATGGTGGCCCGAGTGGTATCCTCACCATATCTAAAAAATATAGACAAGGCATTAGATATAGAGTTGAAAACAATATTCTGCAAACAATCCTCAGCTGCAATATCTACTCACTTATTGCTAGCTTTGCATATATATTCTCCCGTATCATGGCTCTGAACATATGCAATGTCCATCACAACAAAACCAAAATCTGATACAGATTTGATTCGTGAAGAATGACGTAGAGGCTGGCCATTGTGGAACCATTCCACTTTAAGGTTTGGATCATTCACAGGAATCAAGGTGCACTCAAAGTGAGCAGAATCACCTTCCTTCAAACTGTCTTGACTCTGAGAGGGAAAAACGATTTTGGATACATAAACATTAGGGATTAAGGGAAGTACACACATTAAGGTTCAATTTTTTTTTTTTAATTGCTTATACTGCTTACTTGGATCTGAGTAGTAAACTGAGGTTTCTGACCCTTTGACTTATCAACACATTCTAGATTGACACTTATCTCAGCCTTTCCCCACTTGTTGGTTGCACGGCATGTGTATGTGCCAGAATCCTCAATTTTGGTACCCAAAATTTCAAGAACAACCATTCCAAATGCATGTACTGTTCTAGTCCTGTGACCTTTTAACAAAATACGAAGATTAAAAATAAAATAGATTTCTATGACAAAACATACATACAGTATTTACAGTTTTAGTTAAAATTTCTCTGATACATACTTGCATCAATTTGCTTTCCATTGTAGAACCACTCAACAACCATAGTTTGATCCCCAACAGGTGTTAAAGAAGCCTCAAAGTGAGCAATATCACCCTCACTAAGGTTGCTCAAGTTCTGGAACTAAATTGAGAAGAAAAGGGCATAAGCACAGATGTACAACATTTTGACTTCAACACAAAAGTAATTCACATCTAAAGAAAACACTCATGTAATTATGAACAATAAAACTGGACAATCAAATAAAGATACAACAAGTAAGTAGCCAAGCACAAAGATGGTTATAAAATTACCTCAACTGTCATTTCTGGTGGTACGTCGAGCTGAAAGCATATAACTTAGCAATTATCAAGCACACAAAAAGACATTAAATTTGTTACTTTACACACAAACACCACAAATGTTTGAGTTACAAAGAGAGAGAAATGTTCAAATCAAAATATAGAATTCTAAAAAAATTATTTGATTGAGCATTAAATAAAAGCTGGCAATGAAAAAATAAAATAAAGAAACACACTTGGTAAAACACTCTGAACAATAATACCTGTGAAGTGAAAACAGGAGGCTGTCCTCCATCAGCTTCAGGCACGCTGCCAGGTTCACGACTAAGAGCATCTTCAAGATTTTGAATTTGTTCCAGGCCCTTCTCACCTTTGGGATGCTGTGTTCCTTCAATAAGGTTTACTTTGCCTGCAAAGAAGAGAAAACATGCATTTCAATTTTGATCCACAATATCCATAACTTCGCATTTGGAATGGTGGGCAACACAATGAGATACAATACCTGTGCAGTAAATAGTGGTGGATGTAAAAGCTTCTCCAGCTTGATTGAAAGCCTTGCATGTGTAGACTCCCTGGTCTCTTTCATAAACATCAGCCAAATCCAGAGTAACAAAACCAAAGTCATTCGTCATCTTAAAACGAGACCCTGAAAACAGATAGATTTATTTGAGAATGAAAGTATTTTTCAAGTTTTAAAAGTCAAGATATAATTAAAACAAATCTGATGCATACCATGCTCCAATGCTTTGCCATTGAAGTACCATTCAATCTTTAAGTTCGGATCATTCTTTGGCTCAACAGTTCCTTCAAGATGAAGCTTATCATTTTCACCCAAGCGGAATTCTGGGTTCAATGGGATAGTCCAGATGGGCTTGGGGAACTGTGGCTCTGGTTGGTCTGGTTTGCGAGAGGCCTTTCCTTGAACAGCTGCTTCAACCTCATCAACAGCTTCAAGACCCTGTTTTCCTTGTGGGTGCTGAGTGTCCAAGTAAATACTAGATTTACCTAAAATAAAAAACAAAGAACAATATTAATAGTAGTACAAAACATTAAGTTAGTTCTATTAAATTACAGATATATAAAAAAGACTTTCAATAGTTAACTATACCTGTGCACCGAAGAGAGCCTGAAGTGGTGGCACTTCCCTTGTTATTTGTTGCCTTACAAGTGTAAATTCCTGAATCCTCAGGATATGCTCCAACAATATCAAGAGATACATAGCCAAAGTCATAAGTCGACTTGAAGCGAGCACCTTGTGTTAAAGGCTTGCCATTAACAAACCATTCTGAGGTGTAGAGAACAAAACAGAAAGAAATTAGATGGTAAAAAGAAAAAGTACTATATTAACAATTCACAGTAAAAATATTAGCACCAACCAATGCCAAGAGTTGGGTCTTTAGCTGGTTCAACATGGCATTCAAAGTGCACTGTGTCACCCTCCTTGCACTCAACGTTGTTCAAATGTGTGATGAACACTGGCAGCTCATAGGTAGGTTCTGGAGCATCTGGACGAGCTGCCTTTGGAGCTTCTAACTGTTCAATACGAGGGATGGCCTCAGGGTGCAAAGGTTTGTTCAAAAGCCAATGTTGATCTGAAAAATGGTACAATAATGTAATACTGTTGCAAACAGATACTTTCTGTAATTTTAGAGAACATACCATCAATCTTCAATGTTGCTGTTGAAACAGCTTCACCCAGCAAGTTAGTAGCTTTGCAGGTGTAGATTGCAGAATCATCAGCACGCAGCCCATTAATTGAAAGAGTTACCAAACCAAAATCAAATGTGCTTCGGATACGAGAACCTAAGTACAGAAATAAAATCATCATTTTCCAGGTGGTGTTGGTTTTCAGAACAATTTTTGAAGCAAAAATTAATATGTACCTGTTGTTAAGGATTCTCCATTTTTGAACCACTCAACACGCAAATTAGGATCAGCACGAGGTTCAACCTGAGCTTCCAAGTAGACATGTTGTCCCTCCACCAGTTTATCCTGGCTTGTGAGGTGAGTCGTGAAGACAGGTGCTTGTTGTGGTGTTGTATCCACAAACATTTCTGGAACCTTGTTCATTTCTGCTTCCTTTAGCTGAATCTTCTGCCATGCATCTGGTTGAAGAGCATCTCTGGAAATGCTGGATTTAGATTTCACCTTCAAAGATGTAGATGAAACAGCCTCGCCAGCAAGATTAATTGCTTTACACATATAAACTCCCGAGTCTTCAGGAACTGTCTTACTAATATCCAAAGTAACAAAGCCAAAATCGTGGGTGACTCGGAAACGGGAGCCCATCTTCAGTTCTACTCCATTCACATACCACTCAAATCTCAAGTTTGGATCACCTACAGGTACTACACGGCACTCAAAGTGAGCATGCTGTCCTTCCCACAATTCAGATGGACCAGTCAACATCTGTGTAAAGATGGGCTTCTCAAATACTCTTTCTGGTTCATCTGGTCTTTGAGGACCCTTGCCCTCTTCCAACTGTTGGACTCTCTTCATGCCTTCGGGGTGCAAGGTATCAAGCTGGATGGATGCCTTGCTGCGAATTTTCATTGAGGCTGTTGTCACTGCCTCACCAAGAGCGTTGGAAGCACGGCACATGTAAACACCTTCATCCTCCTCACGAACGTGTGACATGTCAAGTGAAACAAAACCAAAGTCATGAGTTTTGGCAATGCGAGAGCTGGTTTCAAGTGGTTTCTCATTACGGAACCATTCAACTTTGAGTGTTGGATCACCAACTGGAATCAAGCGGCATTCGAAGTGAGCAGTCTGTCCCTCAGCAATATTGTCAATATTCTGCAAGGGCTGAGTGAAAACTGGCCGTTGACGGGTCTGAGGTTCATCAGCATCAGCCTTCTTGGGAGCTCCAGCCTCAAGCTTACTGATTTTCTCCAAAGCTTCTGGTCTTTGGGATTCTGAAATGATACTACCCTTTGCATTGACTTTAAGCTTGATTGATGACTGACATTCGCCAAGAGCATTGGTGACCCGGACAGTATATTCTCCAGCATCCTCAGGGACTGCATGAGTGATATCCAAAGAAACGTATCCAAAGTCAAAAGTGATATGGAAACGATTTCCTGAGGGAAGGGGCTTTCCATTGTGGTAGAAGTCAATGCGCAAGTTTGGATCATGCAGAGGCTCAACTTGGCATTCAAAGTGAGCAGTTTGGCCTTCAAAAATTTCTGTTGTGCCACGTAGTTCTGTTACCAAACGGGGAGCTGTTACAACTGGTTCCTCTACCTCCAGGCGAGCTGGATGTCCTGCCGCCTCCAGCATTTGAATCTTTTCTAAACCATCTGGATGCTGAGATTCGAGATAAATGCTGCGACGGGAAGAGCAAGATATTTCACATGTATTTACAGCCTCACCCTGCAGGTTGGTAGCTTTGCACATGTATGTTCCTGAATCTTCAGAATAGGCATACAATATGTCCAAAGCAACATATCCAAAGTCATGAGTGGTACGGAACCTGTGACCAGTTTTGAGAGCCTTTCCATTAACAAACCATTCAATACGGAGATTGGGATCATTAATAGGCTCAACTCGGCACTCAAGATGAGCATGTTCACCTTCTTTAAGATTAGGCAAACTTGTGAGTGGAGTAACAAAGACTGGTTTCTGTGGCACAGCCTCAGCTTCTTCACGCTGAGGCCTAGCGTAGTTTTCAAGCTCTCGAATCTTTTGAAGCCTCTGTTCATCGAGAGTATCAAGACACAATCCTTCTTTGCCCAACACCTTAACAGAGCATGTCGTGACAGCCTCTCCAACAGCATTGCGAGCACGGCACATGTAAGTTCCAGAATCTTCAGGGTATGCATACAATACATCCAAGGCAACAAAACCAAAGTCATAAGTGGTTTTAAATCTATGACCTTGCTTAATTGGTCTTCCATTGCAAAACCATTCAACAACCATGGTAGGGTCATTGACAGGTGTGAGAGTTGCCTCCAGGTGAGCACTTTGACCTTCAGGTAGATTTTCAATGTTCCTAAGAGAACGGCCGAACTGTGGCTTTTCCAACACAACAGCATCCTCATCAATTTTCCTTCGGTAGCGTGAGTCATCCTCAAGATGTTGAATTTTCTGAAGAGCACCCTCATGCTGTGTTTCACGAATGATGGATGCGCGTGAAGTAACACCCAACTTGATTGAGGAGGTAGCCTGGCCAAGCTTGTTTGTAGCTCTGCAGGTGTACTCGCCAGCATCTTCAGCATAGACTGTCAGAACATCCAGAGATGCAAACCCGAAATCGTAGGTAGTGCGATAACGGTGGCCAGTTGACAAAGGTTTTCCATTGTGGAACCATTCAACTTTGAGATTTGGGTCTGGGTATGGCTCAATACGACACTCATAGTGAGCACTCTGGCCTTCCACAAGTTGAGTGGGGCCGTTCAGCTGTGTGGTGAAATGTGGAGCTTGAGTCACCACAACATCCTCCTCTTCTCTCCTACCATAGCGTGTGTGATCTTCAAGTTGCTGGATCTTTTCAACAGCTGCATGATGTTGTGTTTCAAGAAGTAAAGAAGCTTTGGAAGCTACATCCAAGGCTCCAGATGTGAATGCCTGTCCAAGCTCATTGATGGCACGGCATGTGTATGTACCAGAATCTTCTGGATTTACATACTTCATGTTTAGTGCAACATACCCAAAATCATGCATTGTTGTCACTCGGTTGGAGGCCTGAATGGGAACACCATTGCGCAGCCATTCCACCCGCAGCTTAGGATCTCCAACAGGAATTAGGCGAGCTTCAAAGTGAGCTGCCTGATTCTCAGCAACTCGAACATCACGCATTGGCTGAGTGAAGACAGGAGGCTGTGTGACGACATCATCAGGCACATCAGACCGTTGGTGTCTGGTACTCTCCAGCTGGTTGATACGACCCAATGCTGATTCATGCTGAGTATCCCTCTGGATGGACTGTCTTGACTGGACAGCCAAGGTAGTTGATGTAACAGCCTCTCCTAAACAATTACGCGCTCTGCAAGTGTATGTGCCCGCATCTTCAGGGTAACAGTAGAGAATGTCTAGAGCCACAAATCCAAAGTTGTTTGTCTCAGTGAAGCGGGAGCCTGAAAAATGAGTTAACAATTTAAATTCATAACAAAATTCATACCAATAAAAACACAAAATCTAAAGCAAGAATTATGAATCCCACCTGATTTTAATGGCTGGTTGTTGTGGAACCACTCAACCTTCATGGTAGCATCACTGACAGGAATGAGTCGACACTCAAAGTGAGCACGCTGGCCCTCCCTGATGTTGACAGGCTTTAAAGAAGTTGTGAAAACTGGAGCCTGAGTTGTTGATTCATCTACTTGCTCATGGCGCTGGTAACGAGAGCGATCTTCAAGATATTGAATTTGCTGTAATCCTTGTTCGTTTTCAGTAGTGGTTACAATTTGAGCTCCACCTTAAAGAAAGATCATTTTATTAAAACACAATTTTTTTTTATCAGTCAACCCAAACACAAAAATAACAAGTAAAATATCAACTTTTCTTTACCTCTGCATGACAAGGTGCATGTTGTCTCATCACTTCCCATTAAGTTTACAGCTCTGCAAGTGTAAGTTCCAGAGTCTTCAGCAATCAGATCAATTATATCCAAAGCGACATATCCAAAGTCATGGATTGGTCTAAAACGATGTCCTAAAATATTTTGGGGTTGAAGAAAAAAAAAAATTATTAAAACATTTTTAAGGTTGTTTGATAAGTTTGACTTGATGTGATAATTTAAAACTGACCAACAGTAATGGGGCGTCCATTCTTGAACCATTCAACCTTTAAATTGGGATCAGTTACAGGTTCTAATTTGCACTCAAAGTGAGCATGAGAACCTTCTCGCAGACCATCTACATTCTTAGGTCTTGTGACAAATCTTGGACGAACATTAACAATTTCATCAGCCATTTCTGACTTCTTGTATCGAGAGGTATCTTCTAAGTACTGAATCTTTTCTAATCCACCAGGATGCTGAGTCTCCAAAAGCAAATCTTTTTTGGCAATCACTCTAACAGAGCAAGAAGTAACAGCCTCTCCCAGCTGATTGCGTGCTTGACATGTGTACACACCAGAGTCCTCAGGATAAACACTCAAGAGATCAAGAGCAACATAGTCAAAGTCATATGCAGGACGGAAGCGATGTCCTAAATAGAACAAGAACATGAAGATAAGTAAAAAGTGTTGTACAGCTTCTGAAGAAATTATAAGGTTGATTTATGAAATGGTACACACCAGTGCGAACAGGTCGTCCATTGACAAACCAATCAACGCGCATTGTTGGGTCACCAACTGGCTGAAGGCGGCATTCAAGATGAACATTAGTTCCTTCAATGGTTTCCAGGTTGTGCAATGGTCTTGTGAATTGAGGAGGCTGAGCAACAATAATTTCCTCTTGGGCATGGCGTTGATGACGTGATGCATCCTCCAACATTTGAATTTGCTCAAGAGAGGACTCATTCATTGTTTCAGTTACAATGTCAGCACGACTAATAATCTGCAAACACATTTTTGTTTTTTAACTTTCTACCAGTTTAAGTTCCATTGCTAATGTGCATAAAGTAAGTCAGGAGATTTCTTAGAGCCAAAAAGTTATGGAAATATTTACCCTAACACAAGCAGATGTGTGAGCAGAGCCCAGGTGATTGGTGGCTCGGCAAGTGTACTCCCCAGAGTCCATAGCAGTTGTCTTAACAATATCCAGAGCCACATACCCAAAGTCATAATATGTGCGGAACCGAGAGCCTGGTTAGAGGGGAGGCAAATTAAAATTAATGTGTGGCAAAACAAAACAACAAAACTAAGGAAAATCAGAAAAAAAGTACAGACCAACTGTGACTGGGCGTCCATTCTGGAACCATTCTACACGCATGGTTGGATCCCCCATAGGCTCCAATCGGCACTCCAGATGAATATTTTTGCCTTCACTGGCTGGTTTCGGGTCAGACAAAGGCTGCACAAAAATTGGTTTGGACTTGGAAATTTCTTCAATGTTGTAGTGTGGTTCCACAAACTTTGACTCTTCAATTTGACGAGTCTTGTCAAAAGTTCCTCGGTGCATGCTGGATGTGTCAATGCTTGAGCGAGCTAGAAGTGAAAACAGCAAGATAAAAACAAATATTTTGAAGATGAGAAAAAACATAAAGAAAACAGGAAAAAACTATGCATTCCCACAGAAAATTTAGCTTACTTTCTACCACCATACTAGCCGATTGTTGAGCTTCACCCAGAGCATTTCTTGCTACCACAGTATAGGTGCCACCATCTTCAGCTCGGACACTTAAGATATCCAGGGCAACATATCCAAAATCATGGTACAACTGGATGCGATTGGCATGTTGTAGAGGCTTGCCATTGTGGTACCATTCAATCTAAAGAACACAGTTAACGTTTTGTTTGTAGAGAAGAATTTTTGAAATTTACGCAATGCAGTACGTGTAAGTTTAGAAAGATGAAATACCTTCATAGTTGTATCACTCAAGGGTTCAACACGGGCCTCAAAATGAGCTCGCTGGCCTTCCACAATCTTTGTAGTTCCTTTCAGGGGACCCAAGAACCTTGGCTTCTGAGTAACTTGGCTCTCCTCCTGTTGCATGCGCGTATAGCGGCTACTGTCCTCAAGATGTTGGATCTTTTCCAGGCCTCCTGGATGCTGACTCTCTGAAAGGATATCTTTCTTGCCTGATACTGTCAACTGGGCTGATGTAACAGCTTCACCAAGCTGGTTGATAGCACGGCATGTGTAAGTGCCTTGATCATAGATAGTAACATTCTTGATAGTCAAGGCAACATATCCAAAGTTGAAGAAACTGGTAATCCTTGAACTTGCTTCCACAGGACGACCATCTTTAAACCACTCAACACGCAGAGTTGGATCCCCCAGGGGCTCCAGACGTGCCTCAAAATGCGCAAAAGCATTTTCGCGAATATTAAGCTGATCCTTAATGGGAGTCTTAAACTCAGGTGGCGCATAACTCTCTTGTGGTTCTGGTTGGTAATTTCTGTACTGCTGAGCTTGGTGGTATGCTTCCAGCTCTTCTACTTTCTCAATATATCTCTGTTGCTCAGGAATTCCTAGATCACCTGTCACTGTTGTCCGCGCTGAAAAATAAAAACTAAAGTTATAAAGCGCAAAAGACTTTTTTTCAAAACTTGCATAACAATATTTACCAATAACTCGGACAGTGGAGGAGCTAATGGCTTCTCCCCAGCGGTTCAGTGCACGCACAGTGTAAACACCAGTATCTTCAGCCCGTAGGTGCAAAATATTGAGAGAGACATAGCCGAAGTTGAAGATAGAGGTAATGCGTGAACCTAGTGAAGAAACAAGAGTTAGAACAGACGGCTTTGCCTTCTGGTAGAGACAGTCTTGGGTTTGCCAGACACACTTACTTGCTGTGATTGGTCGACCATCCTTGTACCACTCCACCTTCATGGTGGGGTCGCTGACAGGGGTGAGCTGCGCCTCGAAGTGAGCGTTGCGTCCCTCCTGCAGGTCGCCCAGGTCATGGAGTGGGCGGATGAACTCGGGTCGCTGGGCGGTCATTTCCTCCAGGCTCTCGGTGCGCTGGTACCGAGAGTAGTCCTCCAGCTGCTGGATCTGCTGGAGGCTGTCCGGGTGTTGGCTGGACTGTTCGATTGAGGCACGAGCTGCGCGGGAGAGGGTCGATGAGTGGCGACAAACAAATTCCCACGAGAAATCTATTGACGTCGCATTCAACCGACATCGGTCGTACATTCGATATTTGACGTCGAATGAATAATATTAAATTCTCGACGGAAATAAGGCCGATGATTGGCACACGTTTCGAGAAGGCGGACGCTGCTTACCTGTGACTGTGAGCCGAGCCCTGGACTCGGCCACTCCTGAGCTGCTCGTTGCCCGACATACGTACTCGCCTCCGTCTTGTGAGATGATGCTTAGGAGATCGAGGGCGATAAAGCCAAAGCGGAAGGTGGTGGTGGCCCGCGAACCTGATGGAGACGATAAGGACAAAATAGGTGATGAAAATTTTAAGCACATTTGCGCTTGTGTCTTTAATTTAAAAAAAATTGAGGCGCTAGGAGATGGGTTGTCAGATCAGACATGGAGAGGTACTCACTGGCTCCAAGGAGGCGTCCGTTGAGGAACCACTCGACCTGCATGGTGGGGTCACCCACCGGCTCGATGCGGGCCTCGAAGTGGATGCGGCCTCCCTCCACCTGCGCCACGTCCCGCAGGGGCACGATGAACTGCGGCGACGGGTACTGCCGGTCCGGCTCGGAGGCCGGCAAGTGCGGCTTGGCGCGCTCCACGTGGCGGAGGTAGATCACTTCGGGACCCGGCTCTGGCCTGTGAGGGGTCAAGGGGGGTCAGTGAGAGAACAGACGACGGGAAGCTCGGCGGGGGAGGCTCGAAGTCGAACCCAGCGATCGCCACTTACTCTGGCTCGATGACTCTCGTGGGACGCGGCAGGTGCAGCCGGCGCACCTCTGTCTGCTGGCTGCGGTCCGGCCCGATCACGTACAGGCGCGCGCGGGTCGCCGTCGAGCCCGCCACGTTCTGCGCCGTGCACTGGTACCACGCCGCGTCCGTCGTCTTGGCTCGTGGGATGTCCAGCGAGGAGGCACCGCCGTCCACGCTGATGTGCACGTCCGGGCTGGACGATATCGGGATACCGTCCTGTGCAGACAAGGGGTGTTATGGCAGGGCACCGGCGAAAAAGGGGGGGGGGGGTGCACTTGATTATCCTTCCAGATAGGAAACCATAGGAATCGTCCAGAACGTACGTCCCCTTTTTCTCAGATTCATTCGGGAAACCACGAACGCTCGACGCCTGTGGGGCTCAGGGTAGGCCAACCCGCAGTACAAGTATGCACTGCAGGACAAATGTTGCCTACCCATCAGGCGCTATGGGAGCTTGCATTGGCCGAACGAGGAAGTTTCGTAACGGCAAACAAGGGACGTACTTTCTGGGTGATCCCTACGCGGACGGGGCACTATGGTACACCGACAGCTTGTCCGACGTCAGCGCTCACCTTCTGCCATGTGATCCTTGGGCAGGGCGTGCCGACGGCGCGTGCGTTCAGCACCACCGGCTCGCCCTCGTTGACGGTCACGGTCGTGAATCGTTCCACAAACTTGGGCGCCACGACCTGCTCCTTCTCGATGACGCTGAGGTTGCACTGGAAGGACGTCTCGCCGGCCTTGTTGCGCGCCACGCACGTCACGACGCCGCCGTCCGCGCGGCTCACGTTGGTGATCATGAGCGCGTGGTTGCCGGACTCGTTGACGAGCACCTTGTGCGTGGCGTCGTCGATGACCTGGCGCCCGTTGATGTACCACGTCACCTCGGGGTACGGCCGGCCGGTGACGCGGCAGTCGAAGCGCGTCATCTTGCCCTCGGTCACGTCGCGGTCGTTGCACACGCGCACGAAGTTGGGCGCCAGCATCTTGCTCGCGTCCACCTCGCTCGACTCGACCACCTGCTGCGTCTCCTGCTGCTGGGTCGATCTGATCTCCCTCTGCTGCTGGTAGATGTTCTCCTGCGCCTGGGGCTCGATGGCCAGGTAGGCGGACGACACCACGCAACCTGCGGCACGAGAGGGCGGGCGGTGAGTGTTGGGAGGGTCGACTAGGGGGGTGCAGGAGGAGGGGAGGGGGAGATTCCTTACCCTGAGGGTTCTCTGCGAGGAGTGTGTAGTGGCCGGAGTCCTCTGTCTGTGCGTTTGTAACTTTGAGCGACGCCTGCTGGTTGGAATAATTCGACTGGAATTTCTGTGACGGAACGATTCTGACACCATTTTTGAACCATGTCAACTGCAACAATAAATGAATAGTGGATATTAGACAAGGTGTGTTTCGAGAGGAGGGGGGATGATGGGGGGTGCTGTCTGTAGGTGAGTATCATCGTACCCTTGGCTTAGGGTTGGCAGGAATTTTGGCCGCGAACACTGCATCCGATCCTTCGGACAACTTGGAGTTTCTTGGCTTCTGCGTAATTTGTGGGGCTGCTGCGGGACCGAGGTTGCGTTCCACGGTCGTCGACAAACGGGAGTCTGTCTCGTGGGAGTACCTCCTCGTCACGGATTCGCGGTACTCTACTTCCCTCAGCAGTCTATATTCGAAAGTGTCCACCTTGAAATCCTGTGGGAATGGTAGATGAGTGACACATGTTAGTACAGCTTTATATTCCCTTGGAACGCCCAACAGACGATTAAACATTGAAACGACATTGCGATTAATTTAAAAATTTTAATAAAAAGACAGTCTGTTAGCTTACTTCTTCTACTAAGGTGTGCCCGTTTGAGTATGACGTCTTTTCGGTGCGCTGCTGCTGGTAGCTCTGGACTGTTTGGCCACCAGACGTGGTTTGTTGTGTGGATTCGTACGTCTGCTCAACTTGACGCTGGTATCCACCCAGCTGTGGTTGGCCTGAGTAGAAGAGTAAAAGAAGTTTATTAGACTATAGCCGAGGAGCGGCGTACACGTCTTTTCCCTTCCAGACTTGTCAAAATGTCTCACCTTCAGGCTGAATGTACACGGAGCAGATGGCTTCGCCATACTGGTTGCGTGCGGAGCAAGTGTACTCGCCCTCGTCTCCGGGACCGATTTGGTTGATGAGTAGAGAAACATTCCCTGTTTGTTCCTCGTACTTCATCTTATACTTGTTGGACTCGAAAAGGGGGGCTCCCTTACGGGTCCAGGAGACGACGGGCTTGGGGTTGCCCCGGACGCGACCTTCGAACAGGGCGTTGCCACCTTGTGCGAAGCGTGCGTTCTTGAAGATTTGTTCGAACACTGGTGGAGACGCATCCCCAGGCCGACCACCAATCCTGCAAAAAGAGGAGGCACGCAGTGATCGATCTGGCCAACAGATTATGGTGCATCCAACAAAAAAGGGTAACAAGCAAGGTATTAACGTACATTTGTAAGCCTGGGGACTGCATCACCTGGCCTTGCACTGCAAAACAAACAAGAAAAAAATAATTAAACTAAAATAAAATTCCGGGGGAAAGTAAACAAGCACGTTCTGCGACAAGCGCCTTCCAGCCAGAGGGTAGGCCCCACGCAACACTCCGGAGCGCGACCGAGGTATCGTGCCGGCTCGAGGGCACTATCCGAGACCATGACCTCCGTCTATTTCTAGAGTTTTCACTGTAAACCCTTGAGGATGGTACCGTCAACGAGTACATGGTACAATTGTCCCTCACCCAATAAATCAAGCGAGGATCTCCAATCTCGGTACATTTTTAAAAATTTTAAACATACTCATGGGACTCCCACCCTCAATGAATGAGACTTTGACAGCCGCACAGTGAGGACCCCGAAAAGGGAGCTCACTTAAATTAAGCGTAGACCCTAAATTATGACTCAAATCAAATTCTTGCTCTTGCACTGTAAACGTGAGTCATGTTGTTCACATTTAAATTCATTGACGTGTTTTTACATCGTCCGAATAGAACGACATGAATTTTGAATCGCTCAAGAAGAGTGAAATGACTGCATCCGTATTACCAAAACATCGCCGAATTAGAGTAATCTCGGCCAAGATATCGCTCTTTTAAAGAGTCCTACGAACACTTCTAAAGGAGCGATATCATTCAATATCGCTCTTCCTGGAGTGATATATAGTCGTTTGCCCGATACCGTTCTCCCAGGAGCGAGATACCGCACTCCTCCATTTCCAGTGAGGGGCGAGATTTTGTAATTTTACAGTGTCGTTCTCGGCAGCGGGAACAGCCCGGTCCGGGCCAGCCAGTCACGGGGCGCCTGCCGGACACGAGATAGGCAGACCCGCAATGCACCACTGCCGGCCGCTGGCCTACCCGCCCGGCCCGCAGGCGCTCCGCGGCAGCAACGACCCGCAACAAACAGATCAATGCCAGGCCTGGTTAACTTTGCTTGCGTAAAAACTAATAAAAGAACACATTCTCCGAAATGTGCACCTCTTAGATGTAGCGTCACGGAGATAGGCGCAGCAACGGCTACAGACGAAATGGTTCCGAACCATGAACAAATGTCCGAGGTAATAAGTATCTTGCTTTGCAAATCCTGCCACTGCCTTGCCAATGTCGTTCCATATTATTTTTGATTTTGATATTTGTTGCGTTAGATGTATTCCCACGTGATATAAATTGGTATTAATTACAAATTAATACCATGTATTCCCACGTGATATAAATTGGTATTAATTACAAATTAAACACATTAGCTTTAGGTCGAAAACACTGCAAAAATTACACATTGACAGGATAGTCAATCATGCGATGCGTATTTTCAAGGGACGACTAGAAACCGAACTGTATATCGTACGTACAGTACAGAGTAAAATAGAGGAATCGCAATAATACACTGGTAAAACAAATGTAGAAAGTTGCACACCAATTGTGTGCTTTTCAAAAATGTGCAAACTTTGCACACTTCCTTGGTGTCAAACTTAAACTCAGCATCACGAAGTGTGCAAACTTTGCGCATTTCGCAAACGTCTAGGCAACTGCAACTACCTGGTGTGCAAATTTTGCCACTTGGTATGGGTTTCCTGTACTACTACTAAAACCAGTGTGTAACCAAGTGTTCAGAATTTGCACTCTTTCCAAACGTATAAACTTTGCACACCAGGTAGTGTGCCTAATGTGTAAACACCATGAGGTGTGCTAAGAAGAGAAAAACACACAACGTGTGCAAAGATGAACACTTGTTTTACCAGTGTACGTTTTCAATGTTATCAGGAATAAATTTTTTCCGAATTTAAGATTGATTTGAAATGGACACGTTTTAGAATAACCGCTGCTTATCTTTGGATAATTTAATAGTGAAAAACTCTGCAGTGAAAAACACGATACGTCTCTTTGACAAGGAATGCCTAAATTTTTTCCCCAGAGCAGGAACAAAACTAATGATCGGATCAGTGCATCCCGAAAGGAAGGGGTGTTCACCGGGTCCCCCACCGGCGCCGTGCGCTCCGTAAGGAATGTGTCATCGCAGTCACTTAGGGCCTCTCGAAATAGTGTTCCGAGGAGCGTGAGTGACGTTTGGCCGGCAGGGTGAGCGAGGGGAAAGGGGGGCTTGTCGGCTGCGTGAGAAGGGGCAAAGGAAGAAGGAGGGGGCGGCATGAGGGGAGGGGGAGCAACGCAACAAGTTACTTCCAATCCAAACACGAACGCGACCAGACGCAAGGAGGCAGTGCCGGGCGGAGGAAGGGGTGAGGCGAGAGGGGTGGGGAAGGGGAGGGGGGAGGTAGGAGAGGGGGCCACGCCGGCTTGGCGCCGCCGGGCAAATCGGTCCAACAACAACAACAACACTGCGTTACAGATTGCTTTAAATCGAGCGACATGACTCAGTGGCGACAGGGCGTGAGAGCGGAGCAGTCGTAAGCAGACAGAGCAGGTCCTCTATGCCATACACGTTTTCTGCAATTGCTCTCCGCCGATACAGTTCAGCGCGCAAAAACGGTTTCTGCTGTAACAACTTTTAGGACAAAAGTCCGTGGCCCGTTCACATTATTGAATTTTTGGGGAGGTCAGTTTTTCGCCCATACGTACTGTACATCACCCTCCCCCCCCCTCCCCTATGGCCTTCCCCTTCCGGTCCCGACAAGACTAGTAGCGGTGCATCATCTCCCGGGAATAGTCGGGGTCGGCGGGCGCAGCGCGGGGCGTAGCGGGGCGGGATGGCGGGGCGATGTCGCGTGGCGCGCGGCGCCTGAGAAGTGAGGTGGCACGGCACGCGTCCGGGGCGACCTGTCACCGACGACGACACCGGGCTAGAAAATGTTGGCCCAAAAGAAGGATAGGCGCACGCTCAAGAATTTAACGGCCGAAAGAAGCGTTACTCCTCCGGCTTGAGCAGCCTGCTCCTTCCCTCACTCAGTCCCCTCCCTCCTCTACCTCCATTTGCTTATTGAGGCGACAACAATACACTGCCCGAAAAGAATAATCCAATAAACATACTCAACACACTCATTTGGATTTTATTTGACTGGAACAAAGTTGGAGAACAGTTTCGCGGGCGTCTGTTGTTTTATCATATAGCACAGAAGGCAATAGCTTTCTCATCTTGTACAGATATTTTAATATGCGTTCGAAAGTCAGAAAATGACAATAGAGGCATCCTGGTTCTTAAGGGTTGAAAGTGGGCAAGAAACGGACGAGGGTGGGGCTCTCGACGACGGGGATATCGTGATACATTTATAACAACGCTCACGGAAACCTTCAAACAGAGTCCCCTCCCACCTGTACATTTTTTTGTCTTTATTTCTCCGGTTAGGTGCCAAACGCCGCCCCCCGCTCCCCCTGCCGCGCCCGTTGCTCTTCTTGTCCCAGTGCTGTCAGCTGCCCAGCGCTATTTCTGTGCGGATGCGGGGCCCGCGGTGGTACACTCGCCTCAGCCGTAACATTATCCCGGCCAGGGCGGGGCGGGGCGGGGCCGCCCCCAACGCCCCGGCGGGGCCCACTGCGTGCGGGGACCGCGCGGAAGCAAGGAACAAGGAACGCCCTTCCAACATGTCTCTATACTTTTTATCACCCCTTCATGACGGACAGTGCAATTTGTGTACACCGTAAGGAAAAGAAAAACGGATAGGTATTCGTGACGAAAAAGTCGACTATTCACCGCTCGCCTCCCCACTAGTACGGACCGGCACTGCCTTAACCCGGCCTGGCTGACAGCTTGCCCGCGGGCCGGGCCAGGCCCTCCCGCCGGAAGCCGTCACCGGAGACGGCCCGCCCCGCCCCGCCACGCTCGCACAAGCGGCGCCTTGCAGAATCGCTGTCTTTTTTAGTCGCGCTCTCGGGGCGGGCCGGGTCGGGACTCGCGGAGGGGCGGCCAGCCCAGAGCCCAGCCTCTGCCAGCGCGTCTCGGCTTAAAAGGCCAGCGGGCAGCGGGGACGGGCCATGGGCCGGGCCCGACACGCAGCCAGCGGCACCTTTCGCTGCAGCCTCCCCCTTTGGGGAGAGGGACATTTTGTTGCGTATCCAGTCAGGGGCGGCGAAGTGCAGTCGGTATCCAAGTTATCCTCGGCGTGGCGGCACACACATCCAATCACTTTCACTTTTGTCCGAAAGGGCAGCGTTCTTTTGCACACCAGAGTCCTTTCGCCCCACTGATGTAGTCCAGCACCGCGCAGCACTTTGGCGCCGTGCGCCCCCTCACCTTGCTGCTGCTGGCTGGTCACTTGGCGCGTCACATGCTGCTCCACGCGACTAATCCTCTGCTGCTGCTGCACAATCTGCTGCGTCTGCTGCTGCGTCTGATAAGACTGCTGCTGCACAATTTGCTGCTGCGACTGCGTCTGCTGCAGTTGCTGCTGCTGCTGCTGCTGCTGCTGCTGGCGATTCATTTTCGGCGTCGTTCATAGAACAACTAATCCAGCGGAAAATATAAAAAAAACTCCACTCCACCGCCGTAACACTACACGGGGGTGATGGGCGCTGAGCACAACACTGTCGTTGAGCGGGCCAGGCGGGCCGGGCCGCTCGGGTATCCACACACAATCACACACACACGGGGCGCGCGGCGCGGATCGACTGATACGCGATCACGTCGATAAAGGATCGCACGAGCGAGAAATCAATCAATCGATCGCGAAAATAAAGACGGCGCACGCAGAAGTCAGGTCACTTCGAGTTGTCCACGAGCCATAATTCGGACATGTAGATCTTAAAAAAAAATTGGGTAGGTCTTGTAAAGACTTCGGTCGAGTACGAAATGTGAGGAAGAAACGCGGTAAAGGCGACAGAATGCCCCGCGGGGCCGCGGAGGTGGGGAGGGAGGGGGCAGCATCCCGAGGGTGGGGGTAGAAAGGGCGGCTGGTGGGGGGCGCCGCGGCCAGGGTGGGGGCTGTGGGCGCCGCGGCGACGCGTGGAGCGCCGTGGCGCGGCGTGGACCAACGGGCCCAAAATATCCGACAGCCGAGCGGCAGCGAAAGCACCGGCCGCTTGTTTTTAGAACGCGACCCCCTCCCAACACTCTCGCGAGGGGGAGGAGAGAGGGGGGAAAAGGCGTGGCGGGGCGTGGTGGGGTGTGGCCGGGCGTGGAGGGGCGTACAGGAGCCGGCATGGGGCAGGGCAAGTCCGCGCCACGCTGCACCACCACCGTCCAGTGGGCATAACAGAGACTGTCTCCAGGACAGGGGAATA